GACAGAGTGTATGTTACATATACAAACACACACACACACACACAAACGTGCATCCTCATTTCTCAAGTTTTGTAGCATGGCTGAGTAGCTTTTCTGCACATACTATATTACTTTCAAAAGATTTTCCTGACTGATAAGCAATGAAGCCACTAAAGAAGATCATCCTCAGTGGATAAGTTTACTGTTTTTAATATTAAAAACAATGTAATATTAAAATATTTTAATATTTTCAATGTTATTTTATTTTTATATTTTTATAAAAATAAACATAATAAACTTAATACAAAGTACATTTAAACAATTATTTAACAATCAATTTTAAAGCCAACATGAAATAGAGGAACTCCAAAACAATAGCCGCATAACCTGTAGTTTGGAACTGTTGCTACTCAGCCTAGTAAATAGTATTCCAAGAATTTGATGGCTTCACAGTAAGCTCCGTTTAGTGTATGACTGAACAAAGGATACACATACACAGAGTGCATGCACTCAGATAGCTTTCTTTAAAACATACAACAGCAGAAAAGCAGAAGTCTTAAAATGTATCTATCCTCAGCAGATACAAAAATTGTATCTGTTTAACTTATTTGCCACAATGAATCCTGAGAATGTTGTAGAACTTTCTGAAATTGTTAGCAGTCTTTAATGCATCCCATTCCCAACAGACCTATAAAATTTCATGGAGAAGAAATCATACTCTTTGGATAAGGATTATATATCCTGCTTTAATTATTTTTTGTAAACATTTAGCTTCATTTTATGCAATATTATTTAGTATACAAAGATAAAAACCTTATTCTTTGGTAATGAGACTTAGAGACATGCATTTGAGAGGCTGAGACACTCTTGTATCATCTTGCCACTACAAGCATCATCTGCTATTCTTTCAGCCACATATATGGCTGCACACCTACAAATGAAAGTATCTTGTTGTAATAAATGTAATTGGTTAATTGTATCATAAAACGCTTTTTGACAGTTCTGAACCTGCCACTATGAGGCTTTAATTAAATCGATGTTTCTCAGATCTAGCAATTTCAACACGTGTAGGAGTTGAAGTCACACATCTTAAAAGTTGCCAAGTTTGAGAAACATTAAATTAAATGATCCTTGATTCAAGTGTTATGACTGAGAAAAGAATTTGTTATAGCTTGTATAATTTATGTATCTAGACATTTTTTGTTAACTAGGAAATCTCAAAATACAGTATTTTCTTAATAGAAGAGTTGGTACACTGTTGCTTATAATTGCAATATGATATTGGCAAGTTTATTTTTTAACCCATTCCTAATAGTTCCTAAGACAACTCCTTTGAACTTTATTCAGTTGCTTTGCCTGATCAACCTTGTAATTGATCACTATCTCCGAAAAACTGTGACTGTCCTGGATGGATAGCCCCTCTCATCTTCCACCTGACCTGTGCAAAATCCTTCCTATTAGTTACAGTTTTAAGATTATACATATCTACGGTAATTTGTCCTATTTGGGGAAATGCCAGCACTTCTAACAAAATATATAATACAACAAATAGCAAAATTCTATTTATAAATAGTGATGGTTCTTTATGTCATGTGATAAAATGAGGATAGATTTCAGATTTCAGTATTTGTGAAAGCAACTTCACGTGATGATAGGTAGATAGATCCAGTGGTGGGATTCAAATTTTTCTACTACCAGTTCTGTAGGTGTGGCTTGGTGGGCGTGGCAAGGGAAGGATACTGTAAAAGCTCCAGTCAGAGATGGTATTTGCCACTTCTCCGAACTACTCAAAATTTCTGCTACCAGTTCTCCAGAACTGGTCAGAACCTGCTGAATACCCCCTTCTGGATAGATCACATAAGTATATATGGTCCAATCCTGTGAATGTTGACTTGTTGACAAATCTTAGGGAATTTACCAGGACTATACCAATATTTAAAAACTTACATTTATCTTATCTCAGGTTGATGATCAGGCTCACTAACATGTTTGATCTTTTAAAAATATTTTTTTAAAAGAAAAAATTAATTTGGCACATAGTATCCACACCTTTAGTATCATAGCATATCATGGCAATATGCTATTTGGTCCCACTCACATCTCAACTTAGTTCACCTTCTGGTAAATAGCTGTTTCTTGTTTCCTGACTGTCCCATGTATCACAGCAGGAGTTAGGTGGTCAAATGAGGAGGAGAGGTCTAGAGCAGCTAGGGACATCTGGGCCAGAATGAATTTATATTTCCATTTTTCTTAATAATTTTGCCCCAAATTTGATTTATATTTTTATTAAGTCTTCATTTATACCCCCATAATTTGTGATTGGTGTTTAATACATATTCCACTATGTAACAAATGTTTTTTAAAAAATTATCTATGTGGTTACGTTCCATAATTCAGACATCTTATTCAATTTCATGATACTACATTCATATTCATATTTTCTACTAATATAGTGCAGCAACTATTCATTATATTCAACTCATAATGTATATATTCAACAGAGTAATGCATTTACTAAACATTTTAAGTTAGTGCATATAGACCACTATCTACATATTACTCTTCTCTCCAGAGAAGCCTATGGCAGTATACAATGTAATAAAAATGTCAGATCACCACCCAACAATTAAAACTCCAACAGAAAAAGCATACAAGTAGTTCTTGTTTAGCAACTGCAACTTGGACCAGCAAGTTGGTTGTTAAATAAAGCAATCACTAAGTGAAAATATTGACTGTCTGAAGATCTCTCAAGACCTGGTGGTTATGCCATCAGGTCTAGAGACCCTGGGGATTGGCAAAATAAATTAATAAATTTCCAGTATTAACATCCCTTTGCCCATTTTTTCCTTGCATTTTATAGTTTTTTAATGTTTTAAATTATTATAATTGTTATTTATGAGCTATATTTTAACTCTGTTGTTTGCTACCCAGCATCACTTGTTTTGTTAGATGGGTGGGGCTATATAATTTATTTGAAAAATAAATAAGACCACAACTATGCTTACAGTTCTATCTCAGTTTGCTTCTTGATACTTTTTAGCTGAACTGAGGTTCTTTCTCTCTTTGTGGATATCTTGATCTGGGGTTAGAGCAGCGAGACCTTGTGAACATCATAATGGCAAGGACTGGTCATTTTTTTTACCATGGTTTTACAGCATACAACAGATGCATTTTTATTATTCCTAACACATCTGATAATGGCTACTATATGAGTACTGGTCACTAATATCTCCTATACTTCTGAATAACTATCTATCATAGAGACAGCTGTGTTTTAGATCTGCTAAAAGTAAATGAATCATGGCTAAGTAGTACCAACTCCAATGAATCCAAATCTTGCACAACTTACTTTAGATATAATTGTTTATATCTTTATCTAACAAACTTCCCCACAGTAAAATCACTGTCAATGGACAATGTAAACCTGCTATATCTTTCACCTTAATTCAATCCTTGTGAGAAAAATCTGGGGTATGAAAATATATTTCATTTAAGCCTTTTTTTTAGTTCATATTTTTTGCCATTTGTTGCTCTGAAGCAAAAGCCTATGACTCACACAATATCTTAGGCCCAATCTTTTAGTCAGATTCTTGAGGTCAATAGATCTGCCAAAAGATAAACATTTCCTCATGAATTGCCCATTACAGACATTATCACTTACTCATCCCAGCTATCTCACGCTTAGCATCTGTATAGTTACTCACAGGCTGCTTTCATCTTCTCAGAGACCATCAGAAAAGACCAAACACAAGTGAGACATGCACCATAATCGCTCTCCACATCCATAAAACATGCAGCCATGTATAGATAAATGCACTCCGAGTTCTGATTCACTCCTCTAATATTTGTAGTGGAGAAAAAAACCCACTGTTGTTTTTTAAGTGTTTTAAGTCTGCAATTTCTTTGTAACACAAAGCATGAAGTATTCAGGAAAGTGGTTTCTTTCTTCATCCAGATGCCTTCCAAAATACAAAACCCGCCCATTCCTATTTTTAGACTAAGGCTTTTTGTGTTTCTTCATTTAATGTGTATTTAAATGCTTCAAAAACATTCGTATATCTGCGAAAGCCCATGCATTTTTTTGTAAACTTTGTATATGCATCATCTTTAAAAGAAAAAGTGGGAGGAAAAAAGGAAGACAATGAGGTGAAAGATGAGCACTACTTTTCCCAGCATTCTTTCTAATGAACTGTGTTAGCTGTGAGAAAATGTATCCAGTTCTAGCATTTTTTTAAAAATTGTCTGCTACAGCTAGTGAGATGGGCAGACAGAAAAACTGAGCATAAATACTCTGTAATTCACAAAACTTACAGGAAGACCACTAAATTTCTCCCAACACCGAGCTGGACAAAAATAAACCAATAATATAAGAGTATACAAACAATATTTTCACCAAAACATTCTGCAAACTGAATTTCACAGTTCTCATGTCCTGGTTAATGAGCCCTGGCATCTTAAGAAATAACCCTGATGAAATAGTTAACTAATAATGCAGAAAAATGTTAGATATCTAATTGTTTGGAAGTCTTTCTTTCTCTTTCCGTCTCAGAAAAACCTAGATATATTTCCCCTAAACATCTTCTTCCCCAACCTCACAGTATTTGTATTCCGACACAGGAAAAATAGCCCGCGTGCTATTTCTTCTAAGTACAATACAATGAACAGTTCTTTTTAAATTGCCAAATCCTAGATTTTATGTGGAAAAAAAAAATCACACATGTACCTCAGACCAAAACAGCTATTGTCACGCTGGCATCCTGAGTGAACTTAAAAGAAAATAAGAGGCGAGAGTGCGAATAACATGAGTTGGAAAGCCTAGCTCCAATTACTGAAATATTAAGAATCTGTAACAAGCACCATGTTACTAGCTACATGTGTGACCACATCACACAATTTCTGCTTCCTTGAGTATATAATTGATTTCATCTGCCACCCTCCACGCACATTTAGGCTTATTTACTTAATATATACAAAAAGCATACTTTGAACATAGAAAATAAGGCCCATAACCCTGTCCTTACCGTTTTTTGTATCTCGTTCACACCGATTAACAACTTTTCTACATGCAGAAGTAAGCAGAATAGCTGCAGCTGTAAAACCAGCACTTTGGGAACTGAAGCGGAGCTGTGCAGGTACTGAATAATATATACAGATAGCTCAGAGAGCGAGCTCTACTTCATGACTCAGTGGTTCTCCACTAAAGCTTTCTAGCTCTAATGATTTCACAATAAAAGTCCCTGAAAAGTTCCTGGGAATTCAAGCAGTCAGTTGCTAAAAGCAAACTATTTGAAGTGGGGATGGAAGCATATGCTGTGTTGTTTTATTTCTTCTGTTCTTCTTTTCTTAAAAAAGTACACCCTATTTTATTCACTGTCTTCCGATATATTTAAATGTGTATATATTTTCACGAGGTGTTCAAGAGTCTACATTAGCAGCTTGTTTCAGAGTATTCTTTTCTGTAACATTTTTCATTTTAGTAAGTTATTATGGAGGGATCTCTAATAAATGAACCTTGAAAAATTAATTTAAACTCTAGATTTAGTGTTTGTTTTAAAATGGCAACAGATTTAAGGATTTGCCAGAATGCCTTGGATATCTTCACAGCACGTAGCATAAATAATTAAGAGATCAAGATATAATATGATCCATTTGTGAATTTACTTTCCTGAGGGACAAAAATTTCAGAAAGATATTGCACTCTATTATAAAGAGATTAAAAAAATGTGCTATAGTTAAAAAACAAAATGCAACTTACCTAAATTAACTCAGAAGTCTCATTAAATTCTATTGAGTATAGTCTTAGGAAAAGCAAAGTAAACTAGAGCAGAATACAAAATAATTCAAAATCAATGTCAGTAGAATTACTTTATGAGGCCAAGTCAGAAAGTTATTAAATATAAAAACCATATTACTTCATCAAACAAAAATTAGTTTATTAGGGGAAGACTACCAATATTGAAGTCAAAATATTTATGAGTAGAATTTAAACAAAATGCGATAGATGACATAGATATTCATTTTAAATTCCCCTGGAATAGACTAGTAACTGATCCAAATTTTAAAAATATAAAATCTGACTCTATTTCCAGCGTGACAACAACTTTAAGCGTCCAAAAACTTTCTAGTGTTGTTGTTACATCATTTTCCCTGGTATAAATCATAAAAGTTTAAAACAGACTTTTTATTCATAAAATATGCTGAATTTCAATTCCTATAATTTTTCAAACACTCTCTGACTTAGCGTGAAACAATACAGAAAAAAAATGATATACAGGATTGAAATGAATGAATTGAGATTTCAGATATCTAGGGTTGATGTCTTCTTTCAGATATAATCTGGGGGTATTCCTTATAAAAAGGAGTATCTTTTAAAACTTCCAAATGACAATACTAGAATCACTTAACCTAATTTGTTAATTGTAGCTAAGAAGTATGAATGAATATTCCTAAGCATTATAGAGATTTTGTAAAATGAGCTAGACAGGTCAGATTAAACCCATAAAAATGGATAAATCTGGATATTACTGTACCTACCATCCTCCCTAATGTTCACTTCAATCAGTCTGAACTACAAGTGCTATTCAGTCCCAGTGGTGAAAAAGGATAAGAATGTGGTGACTCTAATTGTTGGCTTCATATTTTATGTACTATATAAAGTATTCTCAAGTACAACCTAGAGTCTACCTGGGTGGCTAGGAAGGGCTGATGCTACATGGCCTGTTTTGTAATTTTGAGCCTAACTTACTCTATATCCCTGACCTGATTGTTTCTTTGTAGTATTTCCAATCCTGAACTAGAAGACTTCCAACTTCCTGCTGGCTTCCCCATTGACTTCGATTGTAGGAAGCTGCCATGGAATGTTGAAAATAATCATCATGTGATTGTGGCTCAATGTGATGTTGTAATTGGGATCTGGGCACCAAGCACTCAGGTCAAATTTCTGTGATTGGGGGACGCTACAATGGTTGGAATTTGCATGACTGGTCATAAGTTTCCTTCATTCACCATCTTAATTTTCAATGGTCACTGAATTCTATAGTCATAATTCTATCTTTATTCTAACCTATCTGTATTCTAACCACTTAAATTAGATTAAAATATATATAATGTCATTTACAACCCACTTCTTCATGATTAATTCATAATGATACAAATGAAACAGTTCAAATTCTTCATAAATATGGAATTCAAAGCATTGCAAATGCTTGAGGAGAGGAACAACACCCTATAGTTTAGAGACAGTAACAAAATGTAGTTTCCTTAAATGCTGTAGATGGATTCCAGAGTTTGATGGGCTGCCACAAAGAAGAGGGTGTCAACTTATTTTTGAAAGCACCAGAGAAGAAACAATGGATGGAAAATAAACAAGGAGAGAAACAACCTGGAATTAAGGAGAAACTTTCTAACAATGAGAACAATTAATCAGTGGAACAATTTGCTTTCAGGAATTGTGTATGCTTCACTAGAGATCTTTAAGAAGAGACTGGACAGCCACTTGTCTGAAATGGTATAGGATCTCCCGCTTGTGCAGTGGGTTGGACTAGAAGACCCCCAATCTCTATTCTGATTGATTGGATGCCAGGGCCTTTGGAGCTACTTTGTGAATCTTTCTTTGTGAATCTGTGTTTTTGAATAATAAATAAATAAAGATAAGACACAGATCACTGTTAACCTATGCAAGTCAAAAGAAGTGATAATTTTAATAAAATACAATTTTAAATATGCATAAAACCTGCAACTTTCAATATACTTCCAATATAAAGGAAACACAACTGTATTTTTCAGAGTATTGCAGTTGCAAAAGGGATGTAGGCCAGTGGTAGAGCACATGCTTTTCATTCAACAATTTTCTTAAATCTGGGAAAGATTGCTGCTGTCAGTGAATACTGAAAATGGTGAAATAAGGCAATAACTTTACTCAATATAAACTGCCTTCTAAATTCTAGCGGCTTTTAAGAGCTTTTCAGAGAAGAACAAAATCATCTCCAGACTGCAGGAAATACTGTAGCAATACTTGTAGCCAAACCATAATTAACTTGCACAACTTAATTTCCAAAAATTGATAGAAACGGGGTGAGTCCATATTCTGCAAAAGCCTTATAAGCTATATTCTAGTGATCATAGCACATATTATATGTCATAACCTTATGGCATCATTTGATGAAGAGCATATAATAACTACACAATTGATATTTCACACAAGCTATGCTCACACATATTAATTCATGGTTTATATTACCATGGTGTGAAATAATAAAATTACCTAAGTTTGAACAACTCACTGAAACATAAACATTTCATCATAATGTACATACCTAGCAGCCATGTAATAAAAGTGACATAGCCAACAATACTCAAGACCAAAAAACATAAATTTTTACTTCTACATGTCTTCAGACCTGCCACATAAAGCCTAGTGAACACTTAAGCCAATGAAAGTTTCACAACTTGACTTAAGGAGAGCCAGTTTGATGTAGCGGTGTAAATGCTGGCTGACAAATCAGGAGACTGAGTTCTAGACTTGCTTTCTTTCAGCTTAACTTACCTCACAGGGTTGTTTGTGTAGGGCAAATAGGAGGAGGGAGTATTATGTATGTTCATCAGTTGAGCTACTTATAAAATAATAAAGCTGGGATAAAAAAAATCTAATGTAATAATAAAGCAATTTAATTTTCTAATTCCTTTATAAAAATGTAAACAAGCAATGAAGGTAGTCCGCAACTGATAGCTTAGCAACTATTATGATGAACTTCTTTGGGGGTTACTTACAACACACATTTGATATTCTGATGCTCCCCACTGTATGATGTGACTGCACTGGTGGCATTTGTCAACCTGGCTGCATTTTATGGCCATTTGCAGCATTTTGGGGTCATGTGACTGCATTTAATAAGGTTTTCTGAAAATTAACATTAGCTTCTGGTTTTTGGCCAAACCGTGCCTACAGCGAGCCACAAAAAAAGTCATAAAATCAGGTTGGTCACAAGTGACAAATGTGATGGACAGGTTCCATTATGATCATAACTTGAGGACTACTTATACTTCCTGCCTACAGACATACATCAAATACATGGTTTGAGACCTGAAACTACTGGTACTAGAACAACATTGCATTAGAGCCAAGCTTCAAAATTTCATAAAAAAATTGAAGCAAAAACTTGAACTGAATTGCTTTCTATATGCCCATAGTTTTATTCTCATAGTTCTCTTATTGTTTGGGGAAATAAGAACATAGGAATGATATCTGAATTATTTCTTAGCATTACATTATGAAAAAGTATTGTATTCCTTCATTCATATTAACTACAGGAAAGCAATTATTATTAAAATATCTGAGCCAGGATCGTACAGAACTATATGTTCTGGATTCTTTGCAGAAAGAGAACATTTTCAAGAATTGTGCTGAACTTTAAAGGGATGCTTTAATTCAGCAAATTGTTAACTGAAGCACCTATTCAAAGCAGCACTTTAGGAGCAGCCACACTGATTCAGTCAAAATGCTAAAAGGAGGTTCTGCACAAATGCTTTTTAATTTTATTTTTGCAGGAGCAAACTGGCTGCCAGTCTGAATCAATTTACTTTGCCTGGAAATGCTAATTAAATTGCTTCCATTCAGAATAGGCAGTATTGAAATGACAATGTTTCCCCGAAAATAAGATCCGGTCTTATTTTCTTTTGGGCCCCAAAATAAGCACCAGGTCTTATTTTTGGGGGATAACTTAACACCTGTTGCGCCACTGCCTGACTTCTTGTGTGGCCACAAGTGGCCAAACCCTGCAAGTGGCCAGATGCCATGAGCAGCCAGACGCCACGTGGCTTGTCGCGCCAGTGACACCACTCACAACAGGAGGCTGTGTGGAGCATTGCACCATTCTATGCAGCATCCTGCCGTGAGCGGTGGCACTGGCACAACAAGCAATGTGACATCTTGCAGTGAGTGGCAGCACCAGCACGATGAGCCTCATGACATCCTGTGACGAGCAGCAGCTCTGGCATGATGTGCCACATGGTGTCTAGCCGCAGAAGAAGTCGGGCAGCAGTACGGCAGGTATCGAGGTGTGGGAGACCTGGCTGCGGCAGTTCTAAGACAAGAGGGTATGGTGTGGGGCAGCTTCACCCCCCCACTTCTGCCTAGCTTGATTTTTATGCATGCATCTCAT